GTCGGGGGCAAAACTGAAAGCGAGGATTATCCGACTGCTTACAGCCAACCAAAGGGAACACCGGATAATATCCTTATCCGGTGTTTTGTGCCGTCGGAGCCAAAAATCTGCCCAGACGGCACAAAATCCGGATACAATCCGGATGTACCAAAGAGGCCAAAGCAGACAGGCCAAAGTGCCCCTTCTTGACAGTACTGAATGATCTTAGGTACCACTATTTGCTGTAGTTCCATGGATTTGTAGCTACAAGGTCATAGGTACAACATTGATGTGTAGCTACAACTTCCTAGCTACCACACTAAGTAGTACTGCATGGTCTTAGAGGCATAGTCGGATCACTGCAGTACCTGGTTCAAGGTACTCGTAACGCCGTTCGAGAACTAAGTTTCTTTCGTGTTACAATGAGACTCATTATTATGCTGCAGTGACAGTGCTGAAATACTTGAAGGGAACATCTAAACATGGACTATATCTTGACGGGAAGTGCAAAGATGTATTTTATGACGTGTACACTGATGCATCCTTTGTGATCGATTTTAGTGCGACATATGTTGCTGCAGGCGAGTCAAGATATCGGCACTGTTTTTTGCCGTGTGCGTATATGTTCGTTCGTGCAGAGTGCCACGAGGCGTACTTCAAGTTGTTCAATGTCGCGTCTCACAAATTTGAATTTTTGTTGGTCAATCATTGCACGTGTCCGTGTGTTCGATTGATCACACCATCTACATCGCGTCGGCGTTGCAAGCACAGTGGCCAAACCGTCACCTGCTTCGTTCACATGAACAGTAATGTCTACAAGCACCGCAACCTGTTAAAGGTGATGGCCAACCTTACTGAAATCAAACGCAACATCGACATGCTCCGAGTCGCACGATTATGGATGCAGATGCACGCAATGGCGCATATGTTTCTACTGAACCGGGGGTGCGAGTTGGACGAATCTGATTTTACGCCCTGGTTTCAAGAATTTTACCTACTACCGCCGTTGGACTTATGGTTTGGTGTCGCATCCACGTTTCGTGGGTTGTATTTGCTACCTTGACGAAGATCCCGTGGCCGAATGCCAATAAGAAGCGGGAGACAAAACAAAGATATATTTACTTCACTGTTGAGCTATTCATTGGAGATGGTACGAGAACATTCCTCCGACGTCGAAACGCCAACGAACGCCGAAAAGCGCTCGCGGTCGCGTGACCGGATCGAGGAGCCGCGAGGACGCGTCGCTCGATGGAAGCAATGGAATAGTTGTGTCAGTCATTGTTTTGTATTTGCGTATTAAAAGTACCGTATTTTACGACTCAATGTTGAGTGTGGTACACCGTTTGGCAACCTCTAAAATTTTGATTTGCTCCATTGGTGATCCCTCCAGATATGCATACCCTTTTATACAGTATATTATATCCACGTAGTGTTTGAAAATGACAATTTGAACGAAGGGTTTTGAAATCTGAAACACCACACCCAATCACAGAAAATTTGACGACATGCCTCGACCCACGCGGCGCAAGCCCAAAGAGTACAAATACTCGAGGTACGCGTAGGAGCAGAAGCATGTCATCTTGCAATACCGGGACTCCCACATTCAGGCTCCATTTCGTCGATTCAGATTTACTCGATTCAAAACGCATACAAATCGCGAAAACATATACTCCCCACAACGTATTCGAATTGCCAATCAAAGTTAAAAACGTCGGAACAGAACCTGGCGATGCGCAACGGTGCACCACACTCAACATTGAGTCGTAAAGTACGGTAGTGTTATCTGACTACTTGGGACGTAATACCAGGTTAGTGAATTGCAATGGGTGAGATATCATGATGATAGAGAATTTCGTATTCCTTCGATCACATTTCACAACAACAATAATTGACCGAATAGAATAGTTGCGTCTTAGCTATGTGTTTTCCTGTTGAAAACTGAGTTTTCTGACGAAATATTTATGGTTACTTGTTTGTGTACAGTACTCATACCGTACACTGTGTGAAAGAAGCGTTTCGAACAAACACATGGCAGGTTAGTGGACATTTCTACTTGGTTTAAGTATCGCATTTAAGTGGGAGTGCCGTTTCTCCTACACGACCAAATGACTTGACATTTGTATTGCAAACGACTCCACGACTGCGTCACTTCCGCAACCTCGTCGCCGTTTGTTGAAACGTTGTCTACCAACGCTGTGATCTTTGACGCGTGGCGTGTTGACTTGAAAGCAGTTAGCTCCACCTCTGAGAAACATCCAATAGCGCCGCCGTTTGACCCGCGACGTGTTTGTCAGAATGCATGTCGGTGCCAACTTGCCGGTATGTCCAATCGCATCGCTTATTATCTCGTGACATCTTGGTCAGAACACAGTCGGCGCCATCTCGAGGTCACTCCAATAGCTCCGCAGATTGACTCGCGAAAAGTTCGTCAGAGTACAGTCGACCCATCTTGCAGGCATCACCGCTGTGTTGGATGTGGTGAACAGTACTTCTGTATACACTTTGGAAGGAGTTCGTCATTCAAGTAGCAGTGTTTTCGAACTATCGCCGTGTTGTGTGGCATCACATGAGGAAAATCAATACTGTAGAAACTTGATGCGCCGGATTGATTTGCTTCGTTGAATACAGAAAGGGTTTCGGACCTGTACATATTTGTGTTGAACAATATGACGAACAACATGTCCATCCGGGGACACTTCATGTGATGGACAATGTGCTTCAGGAAACAGTACGTTTTCCCACCTACGCTGCAGTGAAAAAATAATGCATACAATATTTGGGGTCAAGTGTTGGGTAGGTATTGAAAATAGCTTGGGTTTCCTACATTTGCTATGATGGTTGATGATACGATAGGGAAAATACGGCATGGTACGTATGATGCAGAATAGTTTATTTGCTTCAAAAAGCAGGTTGTGCTTGTGACAGTCATGTGAATCGATGTGTGCACGATATTTAGAAAGAATCTATTCCGTGATATGGCCGTCCCGCACTAACACAGAGATTCCAGCTTTGATTTTGGCTCCCTCGAGACAGTGCAACATACTGTTGTCCGTGAGAGATCACTGGACTTGGCAAGATAGGTCCCACGCTACTTAACGTTTGGCCCTGAGACTTGGTGATGGTCATAGCAAATGCCAGCTTCACTGGAAACTGGCGCCGCTTCACTGGAAACTGGCGCCGCTTCAACAGCATGCTGCAATCAGCATGCGGTTAGTGGTAGTTTGATACGCATCCTAAAATAGGATCTACTTCACCGCCCAGACGGTAAATCCTTATGCTCCTTAAGTATGGCCCTGGGCTTGCAAGGCTATCACATGATTATCCGACCAGCATACCACGGATGCAGATTCAAGTTATACGCAGAAGGACACAAACATCCCATGATATAATGGAAAACTTCTCTACCTGAAAAGGAGTTTTTCGCAGGTAGGTCAAAGGAAAAAATCACTTACTACGAAAATTCCACTTGGCTATTTCGACCGAAGTCGGGGGAATAGTTGTATACTGTAAAACGCCTGTTTAGTACTGTAGTGCCGTAGGGAGCAACTTATTGTGGGGTAGGCACGGTGTGCAACAGCCTGGACGAGCAGAACATGGACATGAACAACGAGCAGAACATGGACATGAACAACGAGCAGAACATGCATTACATAAACGTACCTTGCATCCTCCAACACAATTCTCAAATGTCGCCATGCCAGAATTGTGGTGCCACGACACAGTCTAATTATACACCAATATATAACCAATAGAATAGTTGTGTCATTGCTTTTGTGTTTGCATATTGAAAGTAGTGTTATCTGACTACACGGGACGTAATTTTGCACGTTAGTGAATTGCAATGGGTGAGGTATGATGATGATATAGAGTTTTGTATTCCTTCGATCACATGTCACAACAACAATATTTGGCCGAATAGAATAGTTGCGTCTTAGTTATTGTGTTTTCCTGTTGAAAACTGAGCTTTCTGACTGCTCTGGGGCCATCTGAAAAGTGTAAATATGGAAATCTGGGCCATTTGTGGAGCGATCACCATCAGGCAAATCAGATTTCATTTTAAAAACGATGTCATTTGAAATTTCACCATAGTTAAAAGCAAAAGACACTTTTTGACCCTTACAAACGAGTGGGAGGTTAAAGGTCCCAACTGCCTCCGGATATCATATACGGGTAAGAGCCACATACAAAAGTCAAGATATATCTCAGATCCCACCCCTATGGCCAAGTGTCCAAGCACCCATGTAAAATACCGCTAGGCTAAATATCTATACCAATTCATCACCAAATTTGAATCTGAGACGTAGAATTTCTTCACCACATTGAGATCTGTCGATTCTACGTCTCAATTTGCTGAAATCTTGAGTAATAAATATGAAATACAAATCAGAAAATTTTGTGAAAAGTTGGTAGTTTATAGATGACGGGGACCATAACAGTACTGTAAATACCAATCTCATATACACTCATTATTGCTGCCTTACCTGCGTCAAACTTACCTGTTTTCAAATATTTCCCAAAACACAAAATACTTTTCGCCTAGACTAACAAGGCAAAGGATAACCTTTGTACAATCCATGGACGATCGCTCCGTTAACCCAGCCTCGGCCTTGGCAGCCCCCCGCGCCGAAGCAAAGGTTTAAGACGAAGCTTTATGTTGATGGAATACTCTTGAAAAGTGAGCTCATGGT